CTTAATGTTTTTTAAATATCCATACCACACAAAGCAATCTATAAACTCAGCATAATCCCTGTCAAAATTCCAATGATATTTTTTTTCAGAAATAGAAAAAAATCCTAAAATTCATATGAAACCACAGAAGACCAGGAATAGCCAAATCAATCTTGAGAAATACCAAAACTGGAGATATCAGACTTCCTGATCTCATAATATATTACCAATCAAAACAGTATACACTGGCATAACAACAAACATGTAGACCAATTGAACAGAATAGAGAGCCCAGAAAAAAATCTATGTACATAGTCTCAACAGATTTTCAACAGTGGTACTAAGAATACACAATGGTGAAAGAGTCCCTTCAATAAGTGGTGCTGGGGAAATTGGATATTCACACGTGGGATGAAATTGGATACTTACCTCACATCATACACAAAAGTCAACTCAAGATAGAGTAAAGCTAAAAACTGCTGTACAGTGAAGGAAAGTTTTAACAGTGTGAAAAGGCAACTTAGGAATGGGAGAAAATATATAAAAATTAGTGATAATACCAAATGCTAGGGAGATTGTGGAGACATCGAATCACTCATACAATGCTGGTGGGAATGTAAAATTATATAGCCAATCTGGAAAATGTTTGGTTTGGCAGTTTCTTATAAAACTAAATATGCAACTACTATATGCTCTAGCAATTGAACTCTTTATCTTAGCAAAATGAAACAAAGGAACCTGTACACAAAGGTGCATAGTAGATTTGTCTGTCACAACTAAAAACTGGAAGCATACTAGACGTACTTTAACAGGTAAATGTTTAAACAAACAGTAGTACATTGACACCATGAAATAATAATAATAATAAAGAATGAACTAGCAATACACTCAACAACTTGGATGATAACCAGAATATTATGCTGGATGAAAAATGCCAATCCCAGTTACCTTTTGTTTCATTTATAAAAAATTTCAATATGATAAAATATGAGAAACAAGAACAGAACTAAATACACGAATGCACCTGTGTGTGCATGTGCGTGTGCACGCACACACACACACACATGCACACACACACACAGATGAGTACATGTAAAATTGAGGAAATTTGATTAAGGTTAGTGGATATTTTCAATAAAATATCCTAGTTGTCTACTATAATTTTGCAAAATGTTACCATTTGGGGAAAGAGGGTAAAAGAACAGGGATTTCTGTGTATATTACAACTAATGTATATCTATAGTTATTTCAAGAAAAATGTAAATAATTAAAAAATGTATCATGAGGTTGTGGCTCAGTGGTAGAGCACTTGCCTAGCATGCATGAGGTACTGGGTTCTATCCTGGGCACCATATAAAAATAAAAACAAATAAAATAAAGGTATTGTGTCCATCTACAACTAAAAATTTAATTTTTTAAAAAATTTTAGTTGTTGATAGATCTTTATTTTATTTATTTGTATGTGTTGCTGAGAATCGAACCCAGTGCATCACGCATGCTAGGCAAGTGCTCTACCACTCAGCCACAACCTCAGCCCCTAATTTTTTTTTTAAATGTGTCATGATATGGCCAGGCATGGTTCCAAATACTGTGTTGTAGGAACCAGAGCTGTTTGAAGAAATGTGATTTCAAGGCTGGGTTAGGAAAAGTACAAGGAGAGCCTAGGGCATCTAACTCTTCCAGAAAACAAGCAAGTCCTCAAAGATTAATGGAGATATACAAAGGGATACAGGAACCAGCTCTCCTGGGCCAAAGCTGAAACAATTTGAAATTAAAAAAAATACTTAATTAACTATAAATTATTGAATAAATAAAAATATATTAGTTCAAAAGTATACCCAGAAAAAGAGAATAATTTTTCATAGCTGAAGATGTCTATTACTCCAACTCTTAACATTGCAAACCAATAAATAAAGGCAAGAGATTTAGCATATACACTGCCTTTTAAGGAAAAAAAAAACAACAGTTGTCCATCCACAGTTGACATAAAGTTCATCTGTTTGAATGAATGCCAGCTAATAAATGTAGAAAGATGCCGCAGTCTGGCTGGGCACAAAATCACGAGCCACTCAAGCAGGAACAAACTTTATTTTTGAAACTGCCGCCAATGCCCATATGCTCCAGGGAAGATTGCCAACTGACCCACAGGGCTTCTCCCGGGTCCCAACTGGAACTCCCTCCTCCGGAATTCCCTCCTACCGCACTTCCCCAACCAATGGGAACTCTCCATGAGTCCCGTAGCAGGCCCAGGTGAACAGCAGGAGTCCAATATCCATATGAATGCAAATCTTACATAATCATATCATCTCAATGGCTTGCTGGCATCACCTTTCAACCAAAAATGCCATGCATCATATTACTTGGCTGTGGCTCTTAGCAGAAAGAAATTAAGCAGTAGGAAATCATCATTTTGTAACCTAACAACGAAATAATTGGTTCAGTTGACTATTATCAACAGATTTTAAACCACTAGGAAAAAAAGATAGCCAAACAGTATCAAAATAAGACCCCTCAGATTGTTTTTTTATTTCAAAGGGAAAAGCCATATTTTCACAATGAAGAAATCTGGCAATTAGCACCTTAATGAAGAGGCAAATTTAGGATCATTACTCCTGGGATAGCCTGACATCATGAACTTCTGATGTGATGCAATATATGGGAAGTATGGAACATCATCTGTGAATCATATTTGTATTAGTTGAATCTAATCAAGCCTTTGCACTTAACTTTTTTGTTGTACAGGAAATGTATGAGACAGAAGAACAATCTAATGGAAACACAAGGAAGCAATCAGAAAAATCAATTAAAATATTTTTAATTTGGTCTGTTAAAAAATCAAATGTCATGGGAAAAATTTTGATGAGATTATTCTAGATTAAAGAGACTAAAAAGACAACATGAAATTTGATGTGTGAATTTTAATTAGATTCTGTGTTAGGGACAGAAAAATTTTATAAAACACATTAAGAGGGGCTGGAGTTGTAGCTCAGTGGTTGAGCACTTGCCTCACATGTGTGAGGCACTGGGTTCCATCCTCAGCACCACATTAAAAAAATAAATAAATAAAATAAATATATCGGGTTCATCTACAACTAAAAAAATTAAAAAAAAAAAACATTAAGAAAACAATTTGGGGCTGGGGATGTGGCTCAATCGGTAGCGCGCTCACCTGGCATGCGTGTGGCCCGGGTTCGATCCTCAGCACCACATACAAACAAAGATGTTGTGTCCGCCGAAAACTGAAAAATAAATATTAAAAAAAAAGAAAACAATTTGTGGGGCCGGGATTGTGACTCAGTGGTAGAATGCTTGCCTAGCATGCATGAGCCACTGGGTTCTATCCTGGGCACCATATAAAAATAAAAACAAATAAAATAAAGGTATTGTGTCCATCTACAACTAAAAAATATTTAAAAAAGAAAACTATTTGGAAAATGTAAATATATGCCAGAAATGATATGATATTAGGACATTATTATCGATTCATAGGTATGATAATAATCCTATGGCTTTACAAGAATTTATATCTTTATTCCTAAGATATGAGTACTAAAATATTGAGAGATGAAATGTCACTAATGCCTATATCTTAATTAAAATGTTTTTGGAGGACTGAGGTTGTGGCTTAGTGGCAGAGCGCTTGCTTCGCACATGTGAGGCACTGGGTTCAATCTTCAGCACCACATAAAAATAAATAAATAAAATAAGGGTATTGTGTCCATCTACAACTAAAGCCCATCTACAACTAAAAGAATATTTTTAAAAATGTTTTTGGAAAAATACATGCATATGTGCAAATGGGACAGAAATGTTAAAAACTATTGAATCTAGGTAGGAAGTAGTTTTGTGAATCTCTACTTGTATGTGTGGACATCACTACTTAACTCAGGAAACAAGTTTTTGGCAGAGTCCTCCTCACTGTTTTCCCAGTTCTGATTATATCTCAAGGAGGAAGATTCATGCTCATTTTTTGGAGTCTTTCCAGTGGCCATGGTGATCGATCATGGTCAGTTTCCAAAACAAAGAAAGAAACAAACAAACAAAACAACCACATGAAAGATGATGTCTCCCTACCCCCATCTCTAGAGTCAGTCACTAACACAAAACCAAGCAACATAGTAACATCATTGGACAAATAAGAGCAATGAGGTATGCAATATCGATTTTTAAAACATGTTATTTTAAAACACACTAAATAACAAAAAAACAGTTTTTGATGAGGTTATTCTAGATTAAAGAAACTAAAAAGACAACATGAAATTTGATGTGTAAATTTTAATTAGATTCTGTGTTAGGGACAGAAAACTTTATAAAACACATTAAGAGGAGCTGGGTTGTAGCTCAGTGGTTGAGCTACAAACAACAACCAAAAACCAGTTTCAGCTTCATATTCAGGCATTCCAGAAAACTTAATGTATTCTGGGTACAAATAGACAAATAAACACATTGTTCCTTTTTTCTTTTTCAGGTGCTTGAGGTCCGACTCATGGTTTCATACATGCTAAACCGGCTCTCTACCACTGAGCAAGCACTCAACCACTCTACCAAAGTGACTGTTGGGGCTACATTGAGGTTATCATGGATGGAGTTTTTGGTTGGGTCCATTGATGTACTAGTAAAGATGACTACTATAGTCATTGAGCATAGTCATCTTTACTATCCCCCAACTTTGATACAACTACTCACACACTACACACTCTTGCTCATGAAAGCTTTTGTTTTTCTTCTGTGACTACTGCTTATTTTGAGCTACCAAATCTGCTGCTGAATACTAACTATAAGATCTGCAGCATCCCTAGTGTTTGAATATTTTAAGATTAGGTTGCTGAGTTAAATAAACAATAGAAAATAACATTTAGGAGAATGGGTAGCTGATAGGCTCAGCCAGAATTTCAGGCCAGCAAAGGAGGTTTTGATAGGGTCAAGGGAAGGGTCTCCTTGACATCACACTCAACAAGTGGCCAATCCTGCAGGTGCAGATAAGGAGGCTGCTCAGAGACTGCCTGGGAAATGAGGGGCGGTGGGCACCCACTCAGAAGACTGCAGGCGCCATGGGCAGAGCAAGGCAAAGAGCCAACGCTCAGCGGCGGAAGCAGAAGCATCCCGGGGATCCTCCAGCCACCTGCGCAGCTGTCGCGGTCATGGGCGCGAGCCGCGCGCGGTGCCCACCTGTCCAAGTCGGGGTCGGGAGCCAGGCGGCCGGCAGGGAGCGGGCGGCGGCCAAGAGGCGGCGCGGAAAGGCGCGGCGCAAGCGCTGGTGGCGGCGGGTACGGGAGACCAGCGCCAAGAATCTGCTGCTCCCGCCGCAGCTGCGGAACCAGCGGGCGCTCATGCCCACCCCAGCGGCACCGGCCACGTCTCCGGGTGAGCTGGACCTGGGCGCGCAGCGCGAGCGCTGGGAGGCGTTCCGCAAGCTGCGGGGCCTGAGCTGCGAGGGTGCCGCCAAGTTCCTGCTGGACACCTTCGAGTTTCCGGGCCTGGTGTACCACACCGGGGGCTGCCACTGCGGCGCTGTCCGCTTTGCGGCCTGGGCCCCTGCGGATCTGCACGTGGTGGAGTGCAGCTGCAGGCTGTGCAAGAAGAAGCAGCACCGCCACTTCCTCGTCCCAGCGGAGCGCTTCACGCTGCTGCAGGGCGCCGAGAGCATGGTCACCTACCCGTCCAACACGCACCCGGCGCTGCACAGCTTCTGCAGCAGGTGCGGGGTGCAGAGCTTCCACGCCGCGGAGTCCGACCCGCGCGTGTACGGCGTCGCCCCGCACTGCCTGGACGCGGGCACGGTGCGCAGCATGGTCATCGAGGAGGTCGATGGTGAAGCTTGGGAACAGGAGGCCACCGAGGAGGACGACGACGACTACGCCATGCAGAACGCGTCCATCGAGGCGACCCCTGCCTGTCCTGGCCAAGAAGAGCTGTGAATGAGGTCGCCGACATGCAGAACCCAGTGTGTGGGGGCCCCTCCAGCCAACCCCTGCAGCACTTCTCTCCTGTCAGCCAGGTCTGTTTCCGGACCGGTCAACCTGTGGTGTCAGTGTAAGCTATCTGTTCCTGTTTCCCCTTCCTCTCCATTTCTGTTCAAGGGACTTGCTCCTAATCCAGAACTTGAGCACACACACCTTCGTCTGTGTACAGTGATCACCGTGACATCCAACATGCAAGTAGTGTCTCCACGTTTTCAAGCCATCTCTTCCATCACTTGGTTGTGCCATTCATCCTGAAGGATCCCCACATGGCTGGTGGGAATCCCGTGTACTGTACGTTTCTGGTGCTATTGTGAACAGGCTTGTGTGCAACACGTGCATTTTAGTGTGCTGGGCGGCTACATCCCAACACTTTTGTGAACAGTTATGGATATTTTCCATTGAATTCTCTCTCTCTCTCTTTGTGTGATTTAGGTTGACACCACGTTGTTTATTCAGTATGTTTTAAAAGAACATGTTTTAAAAATCAATATTGCATACCTCATTACTCTTATTCATTCAATGATGCTACTATGTTGCTTGGTTTTGTGTTAGTGACGTGACTCTAGAGAGGGGGTTAGGGAGACAGAAACGAGAAGAATGTTTGTGCACTAGATGCCCTCTTTATTCTTTTGAAATCCTATCTTGTACATGTGTTAAGTGTTCAGAAATTAGTAAATTCTTAATAAATAGAAAATATGTATTTCTATGTTCTATATTAAAAATAGTCATTAATTTATATGTAACTTCTTGATACCTGAAATTTTAGCCAAACAATAGGTGGTGGGTATTTTCTCATGTCCAAGGATACATATAAACATTATTGTCATTTAATTAATGGTTTCCTAGAACTAAAACAAATGTATCTTCCATAACTTACTTCCTCTGATGAATGTTTTGCCTTTTTCCAGGTTTTCATTATAATATTTCAAAGGAGCATATTAAAATAAATGTATTCAATGTTATACTTCTTGAGTAAAAGGAATTGAATACTCTCCTGTGTCTTTTTCTTACCTCGTCTCTCCTCTGTACATATATTTCATTGGAGGTACATGTAATATTCATTGAATTGTTTAACTTGGTTTACCAGTTCAACAAGGTAAAAGCAGATCAATGAAGTAGATATCTGTTTCTATGTATATGAGATATAACCGATATCCCTACCTCTCATTCTCTTTCTCCCTTCATTTACTCTAGGGAGGCAATAGACTATGGTTTCTCTTAATATCTCCCTTCATTCCCCAAGATTCTGCCTTTGTTCTTCAGAATAGCTTGTCCCAGACTTTTATTAGAGGTTGAGTTGAGGTGGAAAAGAAAGAGAGGGAGAACATAAATGTGAATATATGCCCCAGGGGATTCAATCATGTTGGTGGTGAAAAAATAGCTGGTTGCTCTTAGAGGTAGCACCTCTATAACATTCCATTTGGGCTGGGGATGTGGCTCAGTGGTAGAGCACTTGCCTAGCATGTGTGAGGCACTGGGTTTAATCCTCCACACCACATATAAATAAACAAAATAAAGGTCCATCAACAAATAACAAAAATATTTTTTTAAAAAAACATTCAAGCCAGGTGCAGTGGTGCACACCTGTAATCCCAGTGGCTTGGGAGGCTGAAGTGGGAGGATTGTGAGGTCAAAGCCAGCCTCAGCAAAAGTGAGGCACTAAACAATTCCATGAGACCTATCTCTAAATAAAATACAAAATAGGGCTGAGGATATGGCTCAGTGGTTGAATACCCCTGATTTCAATTTCCAGTACCAAAGATACAAACAAAACCCAACAACACTGTTCAAGAGTTTCAGACAGCATTTCTAACTTGGCATACAATTTATGGCTCCTAGTGTGGTTTCCATGTATGTGGATACAGGTAGGGGACTGTTGTCCTGGGGAGAAGGGTCCAGAACCCATGCCTGGACAAGCCGTTGGGAGACCTCCCAGTGTCTTGAAGATGAAGCATTGGAGAGAGAAAAGCAGTGAGCACTTGAGACCCAGTGAGGAACTCTAGGGAAAGGAAGAGGTATTGAAGGGATTCTTTGGGGGCTTTGTCCTAGGTTGCACGATGCCAGTGTTTTTCCTCTCTCTAAATTAGTCCTCAACATTGCTTGTATATTGGTTGTCTTTTTTTCTTTTGCACAAAATATATATTGCACTTTAAATTTGTGTATGAAATGTTTGTGTACCATTAGTTTTTATGGCTTCTAACAGTGGTTAATATATGTGCCATTGTTTAAGCATATCTTAATTCAAAGAAAAAGCAAGGGCTTGCTCTTTAGGCCACTTACTGCTATCCAGATTTGTAAAAAAAAAAAAAAAATCTAAAAGAACTCACCCTCATCTTCATTGTGAGGATGAAATGAACTCATGTATATAATCATCTGGGACAGTGATTGACACCCAATAAGCATTCAATAAGAATTTTCTATTATCATTGCTCTTATTAGATTAAAGCACTGATAAATGGAGCCAATTATCATGATGTTACTCACTTGTAGCATTTAGACACTTTATTTTTAAAACATTATTGTATTTTTATACCTTTATTTTATTTATTTATTTTTATGTGGCACTGATGATTGAACCCAATGCCTTACATGTGCTAGGCAAGCACTCTATGTGCTAGGCAAGCACTCTATCACTGAGCCACAACCCCACCCCAAATTTAGGCACTTTCATGTACATCCTACCAGGTACCGTCTTGGACACTTAAAACAAGAACCAGAGCAATGCAATGAAAGGGGTGAAGGAGTATCAGGCCACAGGCCACAGGATGCCCCATGCTTTCTCTTAATGCATTCCTTAGACAATATTCACTGTTTCTTCTGTATTCCCAGACATGTCCTCATTTATCCAAGCTGGTAACAGAGTAATTACCCTAGATAGAACTTCATCCTACTCCATCTTCATACCCTCTTCTCTCTTTAGCCTTATTCCATTTTAGGCCTTCCAGTGCCTCACACTCTTTTTCATGTTGGATAGATAGATCAGAGAACAAAATGCAGTCCACAGGCCCTTGTCATTTTCATCCAGTGGGTGAGAAAGACAATTGACACCTCGTACGTATGTCATAGTACAGTATGATTAGAGAAAGAAGAGGGTGTTATGGGAACATGGAGAAGAGGCCCTGATTTTTTTTTCTTTTTCTTTTTGAGACAGGGTCTCACTATGCTTCCTAGGCTGACTTCTAAGTCCTGGACTCAAGTGATCTTCCTGTCTCAACCTCCCAAGTAGCTACAGGCATACTATACCATACAAGTCCTGTCTTTTTAGACCAGTTCTTAAACTTCTCTGGGATTTAGCATCAGTGTCCCCATTTCCAAAATTGTTATGATAATAATATTCATCTCCTAATCTTGTCATCTATCCAGGATGAAATACACAGGAACCTAAAGAGACAAGTCGTGCTCTAAAAGAAACCATTAACTCTGTGCCTTGTGTTCATCACAGGTCAGAATGGAAGAGAAATATTCTAGGATGCCTGGGGTTTGTCTACATAGGGGCATGGACAAAGAAATGGGAAGTGGAGACTGGATTGGTGTCATTTGCATATTTTCTGAGATAGCCTTATATGCATTGAAGGGGCTTATTTTGTTATGTGTTCAGTGCTATGAGAACTTGTAACTATGGATTGTTAAGTGTAATTAAAGTTAGTCTTCACAGGTCACATTGTAGAAGGTGATTATCAGCAGTAGCATATCACCCTCCAGTGGACATTACAAGTAATTTCATATTATTGGCTGATTTTACTGTAGGGCTTGAGAAATTCAAGGGAAATGAATGGTGACTATTTATTCAGAATCTCTGGGGAAGATCCCCAGTATTTAGGTGCTTTCTCTATAAATAAGCAATCAGGGAATTGCAACCAGGAAGAACAGTGTCAAACAGAAAAATAGAGGACTTACCTCTTTTTTTTAAATAAAAAAAGTCTTTCATGGGGCTAGGGATATAGCTCAGTTGGTTGCCTAGCATGCACAAGCCTTGGGTTCAATCCCCAGCACCACCAAAAAAAAAAAAATCATGAAATCACTGCTTCCAGATCTGGGTCTGTTTTGCATATCCATAAAGGAGCTTCTATGATTAAATTTCAAGTCTTTAGCAATGTCTCTTCACCCAGTTTTGACCATGACATATGCAGAGGAAATTGATGTGGCTGCATTATTCCTAACTGCTTATTTTTCTCATCCTATGAACTGAACCCCCAGCTGTCTTTCCTCACACTAGTATTCCAGGTATGGAGTAGGCTCTGGCATATATAAATGAATAAGGAATGCCTAGTTTCAATCCTTGTGGAACTCACAGTATGTTGATGGAGATGGGCAGCAGAAAAAGGAACTATGACAAAATGTGGTAGATGCTCACAGCAGTGGAGGAATTCAAGATGTCTTGACAATTCATATCAAGATGGGGACAACATATAGACTTTTGTATTAGTGTTTTCTATTGCCATAATAAAATACTGGAAGATGGGAGCTTATAAAGAAAAAAAGATTCATTTAACTCACAGTTTTGGAGGCTGAAAGTTCAAGATAAAATGGCTCTATTGGCCTCTGGTGAGGGCCACATGCTGGATAGCACCACAATGGCAGGAGTGAGTGGCAGAGGGAGAGATCACATGGTGGGACACAGGGCTAGAGACAGGAGAGAGGCCTTTCTTTCTCTTTTTATAATCCACTATTAAAGAACCAAATGGAATCCCATGATAACTGCATTAATGCCTTCTGAGGGTAGATCCCTCAGTGATCCAATTACCTTTACCAGGACCCATGTCTTCAAGGTCATACTACCTCTTCACCACTTTGGTGTACAAGTCTTCAATACATGAATCATTGGGGGACTGACAAAATTCAAACCATAGTGCCATTCAACCAAAGTGGTGAAATTAAGAGGTAGTATGACCTTGAAGACATGGGTCCTGGTAAAGGTAATTGAATCACTGTCTAACTTTTAATTTATTTTTTATATCTCTCAAGTGAAAAACATAACTAGAATTTTCCAGAGAGCAGAAATAACATACATGGAATCTTAGAAGCCGGAGAGAGTGTAATGTACATGAAGAACATACTTCTATCCTGGCCTTAGTATCAGATCACAAACTGTATTTGCTTAATACAGTTTGTGATCTGATACTAAGGCCAGTATTTTTGAAGACAAGAACTGTATCCAATTCTTCCTGAATCCTATATACCCAGAATAGCATCTGACATATCATTTTTTAAAAAAAAAATCTATGTGTGTGCATAAACTAAGAGGGAATGGGGTTAGCTCAGTGGTAGAGTACTTGTATAGTATATGCAAGAGCCTGAGTTTAGTCTCCAGTGCTACAAAGGAAAAAAAGAAAGAAAAAGAAAACCATAAAGAAAGAGCATCCATTATGTGCCAGGCCCTGAAGTAGAACTGTTGTTGGCTTTCTATGATATTCAGATTTATTCAGAAAATACATAAATTAAAATATAGCTATTTCCTACACTGTTAAGAAATACAGGAGGGCTGGGGTTGTGGCTCAGTGGTAGAGCGCTCACCTAGCATATGCGTGGTCCTGGGTTTGATCCTCAGCACCACATATAAATATATAAATAAAAGTATTGTGTTCAACTACAACTAATAAAATAAAATAAAAAGAAATACAAGGAAGTGCATTAACAATTTGGTAAAAAGGAGTGGGGAAACAACAAACTAGAGTTTTTGAAAACATTCATTGTTCATACATTACTATCATTAGTATATCCATGTATAAACCTATTTAGAAATGGGTAAATAAAATTTATAAATCTACTATATTTCTGTCCCTGAATATCTATTTGTTTATATATATATACAAAGACATATTTTTGAATATACATTAAAATTCATGAATAAATACAAATTAGGTATTCTTAAACTTGTATACTCATATAGAAGGCCTAGCTCTTTTTCCCTTCATCTCTTCCACTTTCC